GAGTGAGAGAGAGAGAGGGAAAGTAAGAAAGTAAGCCACCAGGTCCAGAACTTGAACCATGGTCAGCCATGTGGAAGTCCAGCACCCCTAACCACCACACCATCTGCTGGCCCCCCCAAGTGCCCATTAATGGTGTGTCTATACAGTGGAGTCCATCAAGAGGAACAAGGGTCTCTCTCTTCATAGATAGAGCCATCTTAGAAGACAGTGAAAAAGGAAGGTACAGGGCCCACCCCACAGCCACGTGGTTAAAGGAGCTGGATCTCATGTGGCCGACTGCCGTTCAAATCCATACCCCATAGGCTTGAAAAACACATCAGGGGTGCATGTGCATGTGTGCCCCAAATCCTGACAGAAATGGAGGAGATGATGCCCCAACGGGGACAGTGCTTTCTTCCTCCCTCTGAGTTTCTCTCCCTCTCACTCAGTCTCTCTTTGGGGAGTGCATTAAAAAAAAAAAAAGAAAAAAGAACGTATACAAAAAAGAACATAGTATGCTACCATTTCTGTTTTATTTTTTAAAAAAGACATTGTGTGTGGGTTTTTGTGTGTGTGTGTGCGTGTGTGTGTGTGTGTGTGTCTGTACGTGCAAAAAAGAACCTGGAAGAAAGCGCAAGAAAACTGAATGGAGGTGATACCCACAGAGGAGGGAAGGAGAGTACACTTCCTTTTATACTGTCGTGCTGTTTGCATTTTTTGGCATGAGAGCATGTACATTTTATTTGCTATAGCAAACAGCAAGTCTGTGCAACACTCTCTCCATGACCCCTCCCGACTTGGAGCAGATAGCACTGCCGAAAGGCCACCAATGTCAGCCAAATCTGTACCATGCTTCCCATGGTTGTCAAAGACCCGCAACCTAGCCTTTAATGTCATTTACCCTTAATGTGCTCTGTCGTCCTTCCTAATTTGTTTTTCTTTCAAAATAAAGAGCTACTGTTTTTTTTTGGCGGGGGCGGGGGAGGGAGAATTAGAAATCTTGTAACGTAAAATATATAAATGAGTTATTCATGAGTATAGCTAGGTAAGATGAATACATACAGAAAGGGCAAATATTAGTGAAAATCTAAATTATAGACTCTCACTCCTAACAGTATTCTGAAGCTAAAATGCTACCAAACCGCTGAGTTATGACTATAACCAGCTTTTTCATGCACTGCCAGGCTCAGTGTAGGTAAAAGCAGTCTCTTCTGTAGCCATACTACCCTGAACACACTGGAGAGGCTGATCCTGGTTAGAGCTAAGCAAGGTTGGGCCTGGTTAGTGCTCAGTGGGAGTCAAGGAAGCCTCTCACCTCAGTACCTTCCCCCACTCCATTCAGCAAAAGATGTGGGGGGGGGGTTGCTGAAATAGGTATCGACACTGCCTTTCTGGAACCTAATAACCCTGGCCTGCTCTAAGGGAGGGAGCTGGATGCAAGATAGGGCTTGAAGGCTGGTCTGAGGAGTCAGGTTAGCAATGCCCTCGGGTTTTAGCAATGGCAACAGAAATGCATCGTGGGAGCATCTTTGATATAGGCCCAGCGAGTCCCACAGATTAAGGAAAATCAAGTAAGACTCCACAGTCAAGAATAACAAACATGGGGACCAGCAGTTAGCGTAATGGCTATGTCACTGGACTCCCACATAGTCGACCGCGGTTCGTGTCCCGGACCCGGTGGCTTAAAACTCACGCCAGGCGCGTGTGCGTGCGTGCCCAAGATCCCGAGAGGAGAATGGAGGAGAAGGGATTGCAGTGTAGCCATCCCCCCTGGGGGGTGATTTCTCGCTTTCTGTCTCTATGTCTCTCTCTGTCTGTCTGGTGAGCGCACGCACCCTATAGCAAAAACCTCTCAAAAAAAAAATAAAAAAGAATAACAAACATGCAACAATAGTTTAGACAAAGGGCTACCAACATGACCAAATTCGATCAAGAACCTAGTGGAACTTTATTAAGTCTATGCTTGAAAATTGTCGATTTAAGTCAAAGCTTAATGGACACACAATATGTCAGATTCGACACAGTTAGTGGGAGAATCGGACCTAAGTGTGAAGAAACCAGGCAGAGTGTGGCGGAGATGAAACAGGAGTCAAATGGGGATGATCAGCTGTACGCGTGGAAGGAGCAGGTCCAGAAAGTGGGTCTCGGGGTCCCGTCCCATAAAGAGAAGCAGTGCTGAGGGAGGAGGCTGAGGATTGTCTTGAGCTGATGGAAACATGATTCTGCAGTTGCACACCTTGGCAGGGTAAGTCAGCAGAAATCCCACCTAGAGGCCTCAGAGAAATCACACATCATCAGAGACAGGTAGCTGGAGACCTACAGAGGTGGCTAGTTGGACTGACAGCCGACTTCTCACGGTAGTCAGAGCTGGAACACATAGCGTTCTTAACCCAGAACTCTGTAGCCAGCAAGGTGATCTTTCAAAGATAGGAATGAGAAAAATGATTTAGGTAAACAAAAAGTGAAAGCATTCACAGCCCATAGCTCATCACCCATTCACTGTCCATAGATCATCACCATACTATAGTGGTTAAGAACTGTGCATAGGGAGCTGGAGCCCACATGGCCAACTGGTTTGAATCCTGGCCCTGGATTGAAAACTGTGCTGGACATGTGTGCATGTACCCTCTGGCAATATTAAAAAAAAAAAAAAGAAAAAGAAAAGAAAAGAAATGGACTGTAGAAAAAAAAACTATAATAGAAGTAGGGTGTGAGTTTCAAGAAAGCATGGTACCCAGTGATGCCCATTGTGAGGCAGAAAAAAGATAGGACTAACACACTGGGTACCAATGGCCTATATAGCAGGAAAGGAAAGGGTTTACTGTTCTTGCGTTTGTCAGAAAGAGAGTTAAGAGCTTAACTGTAGATTTTGTTATCCAAGTAGACAGTAGAAAAACAGAAAGAAACACAAAACTTCCAAAGTATTAGGAAATGATAGGTTAAGAAAACAAAGACTAGGCTGGCCTGATGGCCTGGTAGTTAGGGGAGCCAAATCTCATGTGGCTGACCATGCAATTCAAATCCCTGGCCTGGAAACTTGGAAAACACACTGGGCAAGTATGCTCGTGTGCTCCAAATCCTGATAGGATGGAGAAATGGAGAAGGGATGATGGCCTGATCATGCCCCATGGAGGATGCTTTTGCTTTCTCTTTGTCTCTCTCTCTCTGTGGTGAGTGCATGCACCCTCTGGCAAAAATTTTTTTTAAAAAGACAGATTTCTTGGGACTAGCAGTTGAACTCCCATGTAGTCGACTGTGGTTCAAGTCCTGGACCAGGTGGCTTAAACTCACACCAGATGCGTGTGCATGCGTGCCCAAGATCCTGAGGGGAGAATGGAGGAGAAGGGATTGTGGTGTGGCCATACCCGCCCCTGGGGGGGTGATTTCTTGCTTTCTGTCTCTGTGAGCGCACGTGCCCTATAGCAAAAACTTCTCCCCCCCCCAAAAAAAAGACAATTTTTTTTTAAAAGGGAGAAAATATGAAAAATTAAGACATCCTGAGTAGAAGTTAAGATTAACACAAAATCCCCAAATATTTGTGGTATACAGAAATATACAAGAGTGCAACCTTATACTGTATCCTGAACTTCATGCTTATAGGACTCTTCTCACGTGACTTGATGAATTTGGGGACATTATCCACTACAGTTTATCTTTGTAACTCTATTAGTGGCAGCCCTTCTCAAATCACAGCTAGGTAGAAACCACCCGCAAACTCGGCGGGCTTGTGTGGAGAGCAACAATCACTTCATTTATCTATAGGGGTGTGTGTGTGTGTGTGTGTGTGTGTGTGTATAAGAGAGATTTTTGCTATAGGGTACATCAGTCACCAGAGAGACACAGAGACAGAGAGACAGGAAACAAGAAATCACCCACTGAGGATGGTCATGCTGCAACCCTTTCTTCATTCTCCTCTCAGGATCTTGGACATGCACGCACATGTGCCCAGCGTGAGTTTCAAGTTTCTGGGTCTGGGACATGATGTCATGTGAGTCTGGTGACATAACCATTATGCCATCCGCTGATCCCTTACTTAATATTTTAATGGCTCTGGACCACTTTTTTACTTTCAATTATTCCTATTCTCGTTCTTTGATACCCAGCACCTTCTTGCTGCCCATTTTGAGCTCAC